AAAAAAAAAAAAAAAAACAAAAAAAAAAATATTTTCAACTTTGGTGGAGAATTGTATATAGGTGACAATTATTTTTCCTATTAATATATATAAATTATTGAATTCCTTAAATAAGAGAAATATTTTTTAATTATCTTGATAAAATGTCTGCCTCCACCATTGTCCAAGATAACATATTTGCCTGACCAAGAAAACATAAAACAAGCCAAAAAAAAAATATGAGAACGAAAGAATGATATCAGCTATAGCAAATTATGAAATAAACGAAGAACACAAATATATATATANTATATATATATATATATATATATATATATATATATATATATTCTACAAACATAGCGTTATTCATCCTCATTTTGATGCACAGCTTCTCTTGATCAAGATCAAAATCAGAAAGCAACTTATGGCTATTAGTGGTGCAATGACGACGCCGGGCAACTCAATCTCAAAATTAATTCATCAGATGAGAATTGTCTAAAACCATATGAGAAGACAACGGTTTGTTCCTTCAATTAACATGGGACAATCTAACACCCACTCACACGCTCAGGTAGGAGTTAACTTGCACATAACTTGACATGAGACCAACATTGAATAAACCAAAAATAGTGGTGGAGTCTGACTCTTATACCATATTAAGAAAATAGACTTCTGCCTAACTCAACCTCAGTTGTCAGCTCATAAAGTAAGGATTGCTTATTAAAACAATACGAAGATATAATATCAATATTCCCTAAACCAATGCCGGACAATCTAAGAAACATGAAAAATGACTGATTTTACACAAATAGAGGAAAATCAAACCACCTCCCCTACCCCCCCCACCCACCCACCCCACACACAAAAAAAAAATGAATCGAATATTGGATAAGCTAAGTTAGATAGCCCGCTCTCTACTCTCTCTCTCAAGTTACTTATAATATAGAACTTCCAAATTCACAAAGAGCGAAGGTTAAAATAGAGAAGAAAGAAAGAAAAATAAGAGTGAGAAGAATTAATCCCAAAAAAGAGCAACAAAAAAAAAACATAACCTCCGATACGTTAAACAGAATAAAACTATATCAAGGTCCTAATTGCACGAGTAGATAGTCGGCTCGGCGTCCCCCATTGCACCACCAACAACTATGTTGCAAATATAAGAAGTGTTATTACAACTGAACTAAATCTTGAATGAAGAATTTGATGGTTAGAACTCAAGAACTCTCTTTGCCTTTATATAGGAAAATTTTGCTGCATTATATTTCTTTTCCTTTTTAGATAGTGCAAGATTCTTTTTATTAAGGTTTTCTCATTACATTTGGAATTAATACCTTTTCAACAAGTTGCAAATGATGCTAAATTCGAGTGATGCGTAGTGCTTTTTTGATTTTTCACTTTAAGTGAAAATATATTCGCACCAGATATTTATGCTTAATATACGAGCGCAAAACATGTATTTATTTTGCATATAAACTTTTATTATGATTAAGTGATCTAATATGTATTATCACTTTAACCATGTGGTTCTTAAGATTAAATTGCTTGATTCTTTTTATTTTGACATTGGGTACAATTACAGCTTGTTTGGGTTGTTGTTATATGTTGTTTCATAATGTATTGTATTGTATCGTATTGTATTGTTTGATGAATACAATGTTTGGATAGATTGTATTATTTGTCGTCGTTTCATAATGTTACGTAACAGCAATATGATGAATAAACTTGTAACATTACTAAGAAAAAATAGAATACGGAGTAGAATTATTATATAAAATAAAGCAGGTGTAAAGGATAAAATATGATTATTTAATAATAAGGAATGGCAAGATGAGAGAAAAAAGTAATACGCCACAATACCAAATCCATCGTTACATAAAGTGACACTTTTCATCGGTACGTAACGACGGATTTAATGATACGATACGATATGATTTTATATTTATTTTTTTTCTCATCTTCTATTCCTTTAGTTGGTGGTCAGTTTCTTCGACAGTTCTTTGACATGATGTGCTGATTTATCTGGAGGCATAATCTCATCATATTATTCACTTTTTGGTTCTTGATTCTTCGTCGGATGAATGTGATTCCTCTTTACAAAATAGTACTGGGAAAAGTTTGTGTTCCTTTGCTCGTTGCTAGTCCTTATCCAAGAAAGAATCTCCTAGTCAATTAGTCATTCGGTGTCCGATATTCGTTTTTTGACCTGATTAATTTCGATTCGCATCGAAAGTCCCACTTTGGAGATAAAATATTCTTTACTAAAGACGATTCTTTACATCTAAGACTTAACCTGAGACTTTTGACAAAGGACGGAAAAGTACTAACCGCTCCACTGTAACTGCTGATGGTAAATCTTCCTATCTATTAAATATACTCCACATATATTGTTGTTATTACTTTTGTTTCGAAAGAGATATATTTAAAAGGAATTCCCCACTAAAGCTGTCTTTATCCTAGCTTTAGTTGTGTTCCGACAGTAAATTAGTTTAGGCACAATTTATTAACTTTCTTTTAGGCTAGATATTATCTTCTAGTTATGGCTAGGGGTGTATATGGAGCGGGTTGGTTCAGTTTTTATCAAAACTAAATCAAACCAACTATATCGGTTTGGATTGGTTCGGTTTTGTCGGATTTTTCGAAT